GCAGGCAATAGCAGGCACTGTATTTCTAGTTTAACCAGTAAAACTGGTAAATACAACATTACCAATAACACCTTCAGATAACACTGATTGTTACTGAGTGTCTCATTTCTAGGCAATGTTCTTCACAGGAAAGTAAAAAAAATGTCAATCTATTTCATTCTCATTAATTTCTTTCTTTTTTTTTTTTTTTTTTTTTTTTTTTTTTTTTTATTCTTTTCCTATAAACCCAGGATACTTTCTCACTTGATAACATAATTAAATCACTGGACAAAAATAACGATGGAAGTGTCAGCTTTGATGAGTTTGTGATGATTGTAAAACAAATAACTGGTACAGGACAGTAAAGCACCTGCAAGAATGAGTATCACAGCTTTGAAGAAGAGCCTGGTGTTCGTGTACATTATACGCATGCCTAAACCCACAGACTTGTTACAATTTTAAAATGTACAGAATAAAGATTTGACATATAACAAAATATGTCTTGTCTTGTGTTTCCTGCACATTTACTAGCCACACTTTCCAGCATAGCCACCTCACTACTAATTCGGAACTACCTGTTTCTATTCCACACTACTTTTGAGGGTAACAAACCCTGCTTTACCCAAGCTATTATTTGCACCCCTGCAGCAATTCAAACCAAATGGTTTCTAAAACACATGAGGAAGGATGTACCATTCCATTTGAGGAGTGTCCCCTAGTGTATACTATCCAATACTTTTCCCAGTTCAGTTTCATCATTCACATAAGATAACACTTCCATACAGTAAACAGTTCAAATTTTTAAGACATGCTTGTTTTCAATAACAATGTAACAATGCCAAGTAAGATGACAGTGCCATTGCATGTTCATTTTAAATTATATTTACTTATGTACTTTTCTAATTCTGACTCTCGTAAATGGAAACACACAAGTATAAATAAGAACTGATTGACTGGTTTTGCAATTAAAACATTTATTTGGTACAGTTTTAACCTTTTCATTGCATGATTCCATGAAGCATGCATTTTCACACAATTAATTTATGGACATTATTATTTACTTTAAGAGGTAATTAGTGAAAAAAAAAGAGAAATTAGAAAATATGAAAAAAAAAAAATTTCAAATAACATAGATTTTGAAGACAAGTAATTCAGTGGATAAGGCACTAATCCTGCTAGAGAACTGGGAATTTTTGACACCAACATCATCCATTATCTGATAAATCAGTTAGATCTCAGAGTTACTTATGGACTTAAAGGCTCAACTTAATGGCAAAGCATATCAAGTACACTCAAGATACCATACTACACAGCGGTTCCTATCCCTGAATTTCCCTACCACAAAATGAAGAATAAAATACTCCACACCAGTGATGTGTGAACAGAAGCCTCAAAAATTAAGATATTTAAACCTGGGCCATTCTTTTACACAAATCCATCAGCTGTGAAAATGTGTTATGTTTCTTGGAAGAAAATAAAATCATAGTATTTACTACTTTTTTTCTGGTTTATGAAAAAACTATCCTAAATTAACAACATGCTTTGATTTCAAAACTAAATATACCCCACACACGTTTGTTTACTAAGTTACACTAGCTACTTTGCACGCAAGTAAAACCAAGGACTTTTAAGAGGTGCTTTTGGATGAGTGGGACACAAATTCCTCTTCATCTCTTAGACAACCTTAGAAACCTTTCAATTCAATCAGGTCACCGACATCCTGAATAGGGAAAGTGGGCATCAGGAAACAAACACGTTATAAGAGTGTCACCTACTGGCGAAACCTATTTCTGCACAATTTCTTGAGCATAGAAGATGCATTTATTTTACCAGATGCAATATCTGGAGTTTCATGATCCTACACCAGATGCAATAGGTCATGAAGAACAACAACAGTCCAAATTTAAAGGAGATTTTTTAAATTTAAAAAGAAAACAGAAAAGGCATCAGAATTACTTCTGGAAAAAAACTTTTTTTTTTTTTTCTAGCACACTGTTAGAAGCAGTTGCAATAAAATTGACAAAGAAAATGAAAATGCTCATAAAATAAAAATCTAAGCTTAATAGTAGAGGAAGATGAGAGAAATAGAACAAAACAAATAACTCTTTTGCCATCCAGTGAATCCAGTTCATTAGCAGTTCACAGACTATACAGTTTCTGCTTAATTAAGTTAATTTTAAAATTATCAATTGCAACAGAAAACTCATACCAAGAACTACTCTCAAGCAAATACATTGCTTTTCTGAACAGCTATCTTCCCGCAAAGACCAATAACCATTTACTTATCATTATTATCCAAAAGGCTGGAAAGTAAAGCAGAAAGCTTAAGAATATATAACATGAACATGACCTGCAAACTATCAACCAAGATGAGATCAAAAACATGAGGGACTGTGATTAGTGCTCATGTACCTCCCTCATTTTCTCTACTGAAATCAAACATGTGTGAAAGAGGAACTGAAGCCAAAACCTTAAGGTGGTATTTTGATAGTTTAAAATGGCATGGCCTGGTGAACACAGATAACTTCTTTATCTGGAGTCTTTTTTTTCCCTTCACAATACACATTTTAAATTTAAGTCTAACTGAAAATACTTAATAGCAGCTACAAATCTCTCAAACACAGCTTATAAATCAGATCTTATTCGTATTTTCCAATTCTAGGTCTCACTTCAAGTTTTCATCACACAGATATTCAGCTTTACCATTTTTTTTCCTACAATATTTTATACAAATAATACAACTTGGACTGTTTTACATTAAGTCATTACATCACACTTTTTTGTATGTAGACAATACTGTTTTTTTCCAAGGTATTCGAAATCTTAACCCTACAATACCTGTTGCCATTTACATGCCAATATATTGATATCAATATTCCCCAAAACAATACAGGGTTTTAGAGGGTTTTCTCTCTTACTTATGGGTGCTTTTGCAGAACCCAGGGTAAGCAATGTTGTTGTAACTCAAGTCAGAAGAAACAGATGAAGAACTAAAATGAAACAGATATTCAGCACTGCAGGCAAATGTTCAGTTGTGCATTTGTTATTGCTCAAAACAGAACAAATTACCATTGCTTCATCACCTCAAAACCTTTTATGAGGCTCAAAATATTTTAACAATGTAGACAATGCTCTTCCATAGTACAATAACTTGTGTCATTTTAATGGAGACAGTTGCCAGTAATATAATTTCTCGTTATTTCAGCCACCTGTTTCTCCTTCAGAAGGCTAATTTGGAGTTAACGCGATTACTTGACAATCTCAGTTTTTATTTCTAAGAAAAAAAGACTCAAATTTCCATGGATGCAGACAAAACAGAAGCAAAACAGACCAAGATATTTTATATGTAGTTTAGAAGAAACTATCAACTTTAGTAAGTACAGTCCTGAGTATTTGAACTAAATTAAGAAGGGATATAAGTAGCTGTATATTTTATGGTTTATGCTCCTGAGTTCCCCTGCCAAACTACATATTTGATCTTCTGGTTTGTTTTTTTTTTGTTTGTTTGTTTTTGGTTTTTTTTTTTTTTTTTACTTTTTCTTAAAAACAAAAGGAAATAGAACTACTGCCTCCCCAGTGCCTTTCTTCTCCCTCTTCAGTTTCCAAAGGAGCAGAAACTATAAAAGACACTGGTTTGGTGACAAGTTAGAACTTAGCTGAACCACACAGTGGCATCACTAGATACTTTCAATGCTGATATGTTGTTTCAAATTAACTTTGTTGGATACAGAAATAGCTACATCCCTTTGGTAGTCCACAAGCTTTGCTAATCTGCTTCTCTTCCAATCAATTTTATTATACAGAATATATAAACTGTTTTTAGCACAAGATGGGCTCTGCTAAGTCGTTATTTAGCAGTTTTAATTAATGACAGTGCAAATTTCCCCACTGGAATGATTTACCTCTGTTTCTCACCCAGAACTGAGATGTCAAAGATCAAATTAAGATGCTGAAATATGACTGCTAATACTCAATTTCAGAACCTTAATGTGGCTCAGAACAAAAGAATATCCATTACACACAGTGTGCAACTGTACTACTTCTATTGTAAACACTGTATTAATCTTCCACGACACATACATTCATTCCATTATTTTCTTAATTTTATGTCCACATAATTACCTCTTTAATATACACACCTTACTTGCCCTTGAATGCAAACTGCAAATCACTTAGTTAATTACTTGTGGAATAAAACGTTGTCCTAGATATGTACTAACACACACTACAATTTCTGTAATAGAAGAAAGAACTTACAAACTTCAACAAAACTCTTCTGAAGGAAATTGATACTGAAACAGTAAGTCTCTATGAGCAACCCACTATCACCAGAGCAGGTGTTTACATGCTATACCAAGATATTACTTTGTTTTCTCACATGTAACTTTTCTTTTTCATTTTCTTAAACTCTCTCTTACTGATTAAGTTTTACTATTATTGCAATGTGATACTATACTCCCCTGAAGTATAGTAGGAGTATACCTGGAAGAACTCCACTCTGAAATTCTACCAATGGCATATCACACAGCAGATCTACAGCACTGAATTTTTTTCTCAAAAGGAAGACTGTGAGATGCATGGGGAAGGAGGGGTGTAGTGGGTATTTATACTACTTATATAATGGAAAGATGGGAATTTTTCAACAGCTTTCCATATGATCCTTATCTTTTTATATAAATTTGTATTTTGATAATAGCTTTGTGCTACAACTTCCAGACTCCCTTTCTGTTTTATTCTCCAGAAAATCCAACCTAATCACTATTGTCTTTTCCCACCATCAGTCTACAGTCACAGAAACTATTAGAAAAATTAAAGAAATCACAGAAGCAAGCAGGTGAAGGCAAGGGACTATTAAAAGAAAATACCTTTCTAAACAATACTGAATAGGGACAGTGGACACCTCTTCATATTCTACTATGTAAAAATATAGATAGATCCTAAGTTACACAGAGGTAACTCCCTTTGTAACAAAAGATTATGTCCAAAAAACACATGCATAAAAAAAAAAAATCAGTACTTACAACAGGGGTTTTTGTGTCTGGGTCAAATTCTGTAGAATTAGCATCTGAAACAGAAGTTCAGAACAAATGCAGTACATGCCATACATTTAAGCTACTGCCTTTTGCATTGAGACTGCACCACTTTTGAAGCAACCACAGGAAGAGTATGACCTTGATCACACACACTCTCTCTCCTACTTGCCAACATTTTTTCCTCTCAGCTCTCAGTGGTAGAAATTCATTGATGAGCTAAATGTCCTCATACTACTACTGCAATGGCTACGGTTTGGCTACTCCAACTAATGAAAGCAAGTGAGAAAACCACTTTGCACTTTTCACTCCTCACCACCTGCACGTTACAGGAAGAGGCGACAGAGGTGAACCATAAGGATACTTTCTCCTGCACTACTTCGATCAAGAAGCAGGTTTCAAGAAAGTTGTGTAATAAGAGTTCCTACTTCTATAGTACAGAAAGGTAGCACAAGGTGCTTAGCTCTTGCAACGTGATCATTTTCAGCCAGGTACATAACAATCATAGGATCTAGAATAGTTTTAATACTCGATATACATTTTACATGTGGAATAAAATTTCTTCTAAACAAATCATATCCACATTAGCATACCGAGCTCACCTTTCCAATTCAAACAGTTTCTTGCAAATTCCACAACTGCTAACTGCATTCCCAAGCAAACTCCTAGAAGACAAAACATAAAAACCAGAATTTAACAGGACAAAGAGAAGGACTAACAAAGTACTTGCTGTTCTGTCTTAAACGTGGCTGTTTAGAAATCTTGGTACCCAGCATATATGCCCAAACTTTACCAAAAGGCTAAACCAAACAGCTGCTCAACATAAAGCTCATTCTTCAATACTGGCACACTGTAAATACATGTGATACTATTAAGTGCTTTAAGCTCTTTCAAAAACATTGTCTTCCTCCAATCCTTTCTACCAATGATTAATGTAAAGAGAAACAGAAGTTGAAAGTTTGCGTATATTCAAATTCAAATTCTGCTTTGGCAACAAGTCAAAGTAGTTACTTATAAGACTGTAAGAAGTGTGGAGTAGCACCCACAGTTTCACAGGCACTTACTCAAACAGCTCTTAGCTTATAGGCCAGGTGGCATCTTTAGACTCTACCATAATTAATTATACGAGTAAATCAACAAAAATTATTTAATACAGCAAAAGGCATCCAAAGATACCCATGTTTTCTACACACTGATTAATAGTTATAATGATCCTGATTTTATTACAATGAGAAGCAAAGATTCTCCACATAAAATGTGAATATAGCAACTAAAATGCCTTTGGAGTAGGGATAGTCTTTTCTTCCTTGTACAGCAAATGAAGCACATGACTATGACCCTGGGCATTATTTACAAGGCAAATATTCACAACAGCACACATACTTCCCCCTAAGACAGGATCCTTCCCTAGCGTGTGACTGTTGTTTGTTTTTTTTAATCCAATCAATTAGCTTGCTATACACCTCCAAAACACAATAATTTCTGATTCTAATGATCTTACCCAGAAAAGGTTTCTTCTTTGTTCTTGCCCAGGAAATAGCTTGGAGTTTGCCTTCTGTTCCCCTGATTCCAAACCCTCCCGGGACCAGAATGCCACTGTAATGACAGCCATATATAAAGCAACCAACATGTAAAATCAAACCAGCAAAGGAAGTCTGTACAAACTGAAGAAAGACTTTTGAGGCTATAACAAAGCAAGTACAATGCATGAAAGGTGTCTTTTGCATGACCTTTCAGAATACACTGAATTTAACTCTAAATTTGGAGTTTTGTCTCATCTACCCACTCCAGTTCTTGTCTGGCCAACCTTATGCTTCACAGTGAAATTCCCACTGTTTAAATACGTATTGCTTAAATCAACTAGCCACATATTCACTACTCTAGGATCTCAACACCCAAACTCTATGTCTGTTATTTAATACTGAAGAAATGAAATGCATTTTGACAACAAACAATATCCCTTTACAAATACTAACTGAAATCCCAGCAATGGCTCTTAACAGAGACATTTGCAGTGCATCACCAGCATTTACTAGGCTTTTATCTAAGTACCTTTGACTGTGATGTATGCTAACAAGGAAATATTCTTTGACAACTGGCCCACACTGTAAAGAAGGTCTAGCTATCAAGGAAAAAAAATAAATCCAAAACCAACAATCAAACAATTGTATCCTGTCTAAAGAGATTAAAACAAAGTTTGAGTATATAGGTTGATCCTACAATTTGCTATGTCTGAAGCTTGTCAGCAACCGTGCACACCTACCCCTGAGAAATTATTTACTGAATCATTTTTCATCACACAAAGTGTCCTGGTTCCGTGTAAAAAGGGGTTCAGGGCAGGACCCACATGGAACAGAACTATGTACTCTCCCCCCCCGAGAGAGACACTTTGGGGAAAAAAAAAAAAAAAAAAAAAGAAAGAGATAGTTTAAAATGAAGTATATTGTTTAACAAGGAACAGAAAACGAAAAAGGGAGGTAAGGAAAATAATATATACAAAGATTAGGGGAAAAAATACAAAAAATAAAATATACAAAAACCTCAGAAATGGTTCCAGGGTCCCACAGAGTGAAAGGAGAACTTTCCTCTCTGAGCTCCAAGTCAGGAGTGAAATTAGAAACCACTCCCTGCCTCTTATCAGAGTGTGTGTGGGAAGGGGAGGGAATACAATGGTTCACCCCCACCCGGGGTCCTCCCAGTTGCTGGAAGGTTACGCCCCCATTCCAAGCCTCAAACCACAACACAAAGTAAGTATCATGGTCTGCATTTGGGATGCAGAATACCCAATGCCACTTACTCTGCTTTGCACAGTTTGTGCCATGCCTGGTGATACTTCACCGAGTTCTCCGCTTCTGTAGAACGTTCAAGTTCTGTTGAATCTATGTACTAATAAAGAAAAACATGGAATGAAATAGTCTTCCACAAAAAGAGCAGCGTACACTATATAACCAACTTTTTAATAGCATTAAATACAAGCTATTAGAGTTTTAAGCAGATTTCCTGATAAACCTGTAACAGCCTCACTGAAGACAGTATTTAGTCTAGTTGCAGCAATCCATGCCCCTTTCTTTGCTTCGAGCTCCAAAGCTCTGCCTGCTTCCAGTCCTCATTTTGCTGTCCTCTGGTAAGGAGACCTGTTAGAATGCTTCATGCAATGTGTACCCAGTTTTCCTTCCTGTGGAGACCAGAGCGCCAATCAGGGGGTGGTGCTGACCTTATCCTGCCATCCAAATGAGACGTGGCCAGGGTGCTCACTTCCCTAGCTTTCGGGCGCCACACTTTATCTAATCGTATGGTAAGACTAGATAAACCTGCATTATCAAGCCTGTGAGAAAGGCATTCCTGGGGACTGTTGTGAAAGCATCAGCTGCAGAGAGGGAGACAGATTCATTATATATATCCTACTAGAAATACTGCATTAAAATCTTTACTGCCATTAATAAGCACGGCTCCTGAGGTACCCCTACAAGAAATGAGTGAGGCAGCTAGGTACTGCACTAGGGAAGCAAGACATCAGAGTTTGATTCTTGGGTTTGTCAGTCTCTTTCCTCAGAATAACACAATTAATAGCATCCTGCTGTAGAGTCCATCCCTCACAAAAAAACAAGATCACCTGAAAGGACAGAACTCATCTGCGAGGCTCTGGGCAGCCTGATCTAGTGGGAGGTGTCCCTGCTCATGGCAGAGGGGTTGGAACTGGGTGATCCTTGTGGTCCCTTCCAACCCTGACAGATTCTGATCTGTTTTAGCAGAGGACTTTAGAGCCCTAATGGCTCAACGGTTGGACTTGACGATCTTGGAGGTCCCTTCCAACCTAAAGGATTCTATGATTCTAAGGGAGAGACGAAACAGACAGGAAGACTGCTGGAAGTTTTCTCAATGGGATTGCCTTCTAGCAAACATTTTCTACTTTTTCCACATTCCACAAGTCATCAAAAATACAACAGAAAAATAACTATTTAGCAATGTTGTTATTCTATACTAGTAAGATTCTATAGGAACAACTAAAAGGACATTTTATTATGCTGGGAGGTTGGAACGAAAAACTATTTACAGTTGAAGTTAATTATGGTTTCCTTCCCAAACATACTGAGCCAGCATTTACTACTTCAAGCAACATCAACATTTCATCATTAAGATAGATGGATGCTAGGTTATGAGCTCAATGCCACATACAATATTAAGCAGTTACTTCAGAACACAGAATTATACAGAAAGCCTGTGGACAAAAACTCTAAAAAGGAGGGGAGCACATGCAGGTAGGGAGAGCAGGAGCCCTTGGCTGTGAACATTTCAGCACCACACGCAGATTCAGCAGCCCCTGGTTCACACGCTCGTTAATGCAGAAGCCCCACTGCACTCCAGCCTAGCTGCACGCAAAGCTAACCACACATTTGCATACCTTATGCTTTTTGCTTTCTTGCTAAAAGCCAAGTTATCTTACATATTATAAAAATTTCCCCACTATGCAGCTGTCAGTATAAAACAGTATTTAAAATCATGTAGGTCAGAAAGGGCCTTGGGAAGTCTCTAGCTCAATTCTCTGCTCAAAACAGGTCAAATTAGAGCAGGTTCCTCAGGGCCATTTCCAGTCATGATCTGAAAATCTCCAGGGATTAACTCTGGCTGTTCTCACTTTCTTGTTTTTCATTTATCCAGAAACAACCTTTTGAAGTAGTTGCTCCATAATCCTCCATGGGATGAAGTGAGGCTGATCATCTGTTAATTCCACAGATCCTCCTGTTTGCTTTTTTTGAAGATTAATGCAACACTCCCTTTTCCCATTATAGAACCATATAGGATGGAAAGGACTTTTAAGATAAAGTCCAACCAACAATCCAGCATAGCCAAGTCCACAACTGAACCATGTCCCTAAGCACCACATCTACACGTACTTTAAATACCTCCAGGGATGGTGCCGCCACTACTTGCCTAGGCAGCCTGTTCCAGTGCTTGACAACCCTTTCAGTGAAGAAATTTTTCCTGATGGCCCACCTAATCCTCCCCCGGCACAACTTGAGACCATTTTCTCTTGTCCTATCACTTGCTACTTGGGAGAAGAGACCAAGATCCACCTTGCTAAAAATTCCTTTCAGGTAGTTGTTGAGAGCAATAAGGTCTCCCCATAGCCTTCTTTTCTCCAGAAAATATTCTCCCTAGTATCCAACTGAAACCTCTCCTGGCACAACTTAAGTCCATCTTCTCTTGTTCTATTGATAGTAACCTTGGAGACGAGACCTACACCCAACTCACTATGATCTCCTTTCAGGTAGCTGTGAAGAGCAATAAGGTCTCCCCTCAGCCTCCTCTTCTCCAAGCCAAACAATCCCAGCTCCCTCAGCTGCTATTCAAAAGACTATATTTAAATCATAGTCTGTGCATACTTAAAGGTCAGGAATAGGTCCTTCTTGATAGGAAGGGCCTCCTCCCCAGAGAATAAATCCCTTCCCTCAGTAAAGAAGTCCTACATAAAAGTAGTTCACCTCTGCATTTGTTTGTGCATCTCTGCATGCCTCCCCTGCTTGAAAAAGTTCTGAAATGGTATCAACAATGAGAAGCAAAAGATGAAGGATCTGCAGCTGACTGATGTGCCTGACAAGCAGCAGAATAATACTATGAGAAAACAACAGGGTAACTTCAAGACGTACAACAGTGAAAGCAACAGTGAAAGTTCTACATCATCACAAGCTGCTGCAGCTACTTTATCATCTGATTAACAGTCCACCAGAATCAAGCAATAATGAGAGGGTACAAAGCACAACTGGTTATCTTGGTACAGGGCTAGTCACCTTTCTCCACCAAGTCACTGAAAACACCTAAGGTGATACGTCCCTGGTGACCTCTGTTCTCAGGCAAACAGACAGATGTTACCAGGTTTCTGACATGAGAAATTCCTTCTTTAGTACTCAGTCTTCATGGTTTAAGGAACTTATCTTCTCCCCCAAAAAATTACTAGAAAATCATTGTAAAGAGGTTTCCCATGGACTCATTACTCTCGGCTCCATTAAAGTACATATGCACCACTGGCTGCCCTAGGTGTTCCCAATTCTTCCTTCTGGGGTAGGTGGACTGAGACTACAGAACGCTGGCTATCTCTTTGGCCTGCTGCCTTTAGTGACCCGTTAAGACATCCTGGGTATTAATGACTTTCCTAATGACAAAAAGTGTTTAGTTCCAGAGAAACTTTCTACAGGTGAGCGAAAAGCGCCTGCTTTCCTTATATTATCTAAGCAACCCACGCATAGCTTCTGACACCCTGAAATTTTCACTACAAAACCTTCTACTTTTTATATCATGGAAAAGGGAATGATCAATTCCAACAATTTTCAGCAGTTACCAGTGTGCATAAACACAAACTTGCTTCAGTCAAAGGCAGGCAAAGACCTAAACCTAGTGACTGCAGTTGAGCCTGCACCTCCTCACTTTGATCAATTTATCTTTTAACATTTTATGAATCACTCCAAAGGAGCATCTCACTGCTGGTACTTTATGACTGTTTATTACTGTTTTTTTACTGTTTTGCTACAAGTTGCTAAAATGTCCTCTTCACCCATTAAGTGACAATATTATACACTTTGTGCTGCTTCCCTGCACAATATGCATCTGGATCACCAAATAGTAGTTCCTCAAAAAAAGGACTATCTTAGAGAATCTAAGTTTATGGCCCAATTCTGATATCATTAGAATCCTGCTGAAGACAAAATGGATGTCTCTCAGAATATTAACTGAAACAGAAAGCAACAGCTTCTGGCACTAGTTTTTAAAGAGAAACCAAACAGCTTTCCAATTTACCTATTTTGTCCTGTCTTTAAGCTAATCTCATTAACATGATAACATAGTCTCAGTAGAACAAGTGAAACCTACCTCTGACAGTAAACAAATTTGCAGGTAAAGTCTGTTTTTTCATCAGACCCAGTTTTGGATAATTGCAGTGTTCTTGTCACATAAGTTTAGATCCAAATAAAATAATTAAATCTGCAAACACGTCTTTAAAAAAAGAAATTAGATGCTTGGCCAGTCTGTATTTATCTGCATGATTCATTTTCTGATTTTCACATGAATTAAAACTGTTTCACATGATAAGAACTCCTAAGAGTATATTCAAAGTATTCCTGAAAGCAAAATCCAGAAAAAAAATCCTCACCATTAAATCCAGTTTGTGATTAATTGCCAGGGCAGAGTGTTCCAGTGCCTTGAAAACAGATGCATAGCAATCACTTAGTTTTGTGTACTTGCCAACGAGAGCTATGGAACACACCTTCAGTAACCTTTCGTATCTGACAAAAACAAGTTTGTCGGTTATTACACCACTTTTCACAAAGAAAACATTTAAACAGTGTTTGCTTTCTCTTTAACTTCACAAAACATCTTCTAAAATCTCAAAACTGACCATGTTTTTAAACCAAGACCATTCACAGCTGTGAATCAGCAGCATGCCACTGACACCAGTCCAGTTTGGTGACTTCACAGCAGCTAAAAGCATAATTTGAATTTAAATGCTTCTAGAAAAATCGGCAGGAGTTGTAATACCTGTCAGCCATTTTCTTCCATTTCATCAGAAGATCACTTGGCTGGTCATCAATAGGTAAATTCAACCTCTGTTTAAAATACTTAATGATGCCTTGCTCCTCCAACAGGATTGGTACTCGGTAAGTGGAAGAAACGTCATGGATAAATATCACCTAACAAAAAAAAAAAAACAAACAAAAAACAACACAACACAAAAGACTTACCTAAAACATTTTTCTCAGGAAACAAATTCTGATTTTTGTCTACCATATGTTTTGTATTCTACATGCATTCTAATTTTTAAATACTTTTCTTTTGAATGAGCAGGGCAGCACAGGTAATATTCAAGATTCCACTAAATCTACAGGGGAAAAAGTTACCCAAAAGGTAAATATTTGTTTCATTTTTTCACTACAACATCATGTAAAAATAGTTTGTTAGGCCTATCAATGCATCAGTTTTAATTCAAACATCTGGCCCCACAATCAGTCCTGCTTACTAACACTTCTTCCTCCTTCTCTCACAAACTTCAAGAACTTTAATGGGAACAGAAAGAACACAAATGGAACCTAACAACAGACCAAACTAGGTTATGATAAAGTCTCCTTGAAAAGAATTTTGTTAGTGAATTGAGTTATGTAATTAATTGATGTATATAGTCCATTCAAGGATAGTTTAGTTCGGAACATGTTTATAAACCACGTCCAAGCTGCCGGCAGCTAAGTTCACTGCACTCGGCCTAGACGAGATCGCGGAGCTCAGAATCCTGAGCACGAGTGTTCTCTTCCCTCACACACACCAGCAGTGGAGGCTACTCGCTTAGTTATCCTTGGGTTCCCTCAGAGCACCACAGAAGTGATGTACATGTGCGTGCTGCCCCATGCCTCTCTGCATGCCCCTTCAACAGCAAAAAGAACAGGGTAACCACAGCCCTCCTACAGTGGGAATAAGGCTGATCCAACTGTTCTTCCCAACTTGGCTGCTGCCATCCTAAGGACCTAACATCGAGAAAGAATCAGGAGGTGCTCTAGGTTACAGCTGTTCTGGCTGTGGAGACTGTCACAGTCCTGAAGCAAACTGAAGACACTGCTTTTGTACTGGTGGTGCATGTACTGAAGCAAGGAAGGAGAACTCACTTGATAAAGCAAGTTTTTTTGGTTTGTTTTTTTTTGTTTTTGTTTTTTTTTTAAAAATCCACTTATGAGAAGTCTGTGGACAAAATAGCATCTGGTCTTCATAGCCCAGTTACAGAAGTCCTGGAAACCACTTCCAGATACACAAAAGACAAGAAAATCTTCAGGAGTAGTAAGCATGGATTCATCAAGGGGAGGTCACACTTGACCAACTTGATAAACTTCTATGAAGAAGTGACTGGCTCAGCAGATGAGAGCAGAGCAGTGGCTATTATCTACCTGGACTTCAGGAAGGCTTTTAACATTGTCTCATGTAAGATACTCATACACAACCTCTCCACTTATGGGCAGGATGAGCAGACAATGAGCAAACTAGAGGAATGCCTGGGCCTAAAGGGCAATGATCAACAGCACAAAGTCTAGTTGAAAACCAGTAACTCGCAGAGTACCTCAGGGGTCAGTACTGGGTCTGATCCTGCTTAACATCTTCAAATAAATGGGAAAGGTGGTCTGAAAAGATTGATCCCCTTGAGGCTGTAAACCACTGTTCTAGACACAAAATAAATTGTAGCTTCTTCTCTACTGGCACCACACATAGCTCCAGGAAGAAGACTGATGATGCATCTAATCCTTCAGTTCACAGGAAATCCAGGATCATTCTAGGGACTACACAGACATGGCTAGTGTCTTCTGAAATCCAGAAATGGCCCATTAATTTTAAGACACAGAGGTAACTTAAAAATGGTTTGGCAGAATTCTGATGAATACAGTTATGCAAAGGAGAGGAGGAAAAAGAAAAGAAAAAAAAAAAGGCTGCAGCACATATAGCACCCAGCAGCAGCCCAGTTCAGTCCACTGGGTCTACCCAGGGACACACCTGCATTCCACAACATAGTGCTGTGGACAAACATTTGAGCTAGCCAGAACAGCACAAGAAGAGCACAGCACTCTGCCCAGGATCATGCACTCAGCTTCTCATAAATGCTGTGACAAATATGATTATTGAGTTTCTATCCTAAAAGGCAGAGCTTTGGAAAAAAAAAAAAAAAAAAAAAAACCACACAACATGAAGACAGCTCCCTCCTGCCAGGGGACTGTTCAGGAAAATCAGTCACACATGGGACTCTTGGTCCAGTTAAACTGGCAAATAACTGCAGTTGGAATCTGAGTATGGCCATGCTTACACATGTCCTGACGCTGCCAGAAAGGCACACACCATTTTTGTTTGATCAAACTTCCAGTTGTCTCTCTGACTGGAGAGGTATCCCAAAAGCATTTCTGAAGGATTTTCCAGAAGCTAGGTCACGAGTGTTCCACAGATAGCAAGATGGAAGGGGTGGGGAGTGAGTAGTAACAGCCATGCTACCCTCCATGTCCTCATTTGGAATCTTACTATAGTAAGATAGCTTTTCCTTACACACCTGCAGAGGTAGGTCAACACTGATACATACCTGAGATACAGCATAACTGCTGGCAGCTATTACCCCTTTAACATTATCCATTGCATTGATGAGTAAAATGCTCTCACTTGCAGAAATATTGAAGAACATTTCATTTATCAGAATTAATATTTGAATAACAATCACAAGCTATTAAGGTCAATATCACACATGAATTATAAGAGGATATGTAACTGAAAAGTAGATGTTCTAAGCATGTTAAAGGGCATGACTAACCTATTACGTATTATCACAGTAAGAGAGTTCACGTGGCTGTAATATTCTATGGACATAAACAAACCTGAGCTTCAACCACACTTTGTTCATCCATGATTATCACCACCCAAGGTGATTTAAGGATAATAATGAAGCACAACTTGAAATCACATAGTTTTCACAACTATGTATAGCAATTAACTACACACTCAAAATCTATTCCTTTTATTAACTTTCTACATAACGTGCATTTAAATTGTTAATGACCATTTGACATAAAATTTAATGCAAACTCCCAATACTTTTAAAGTGCCACAGTGTACACGACAGTAAGATAAAAATTGTAAAAACAATTACATATTAGTGAAACAGTCTGAAGGTGAAAACAGAAATGCAAAGTAGTATTTATATGGTTTCCCACATGTTTAAATAAGGACGAATAAGTACTGACCTGCTCAGGCTCCACGTGACAAAACATTGAGATCTTTTCCTTCACTGCCATTTCTATAGGTTTTGCACTTCTGCAGACAATCTGTCATAACAGGAGAAAAAAATCTTACATATTTACTAGGTAAATCAGTAGAAGATCATTAGTACTGTTCATGGATAAATTATTATCCTTTGGAAGCACATACAAACAAATGTGCCTTTTTTTTCCTTCCCCCTTTTTTTTTTTTTTGAGTTCTACAATATATAATATCTTAAAAATATCTGCTAGCAAGGCAGAAGTAAATAAGCCACCTGCCCATACTGACCCATTTTTACACTAATCTTTCTTTGGCATTCTCTATAATACTGCTTTCCTCACACTGTCCTTCCTTCTGCCTACTACTGTAATACTCATTACAACTAAAGTCTAGCAGCTCTGTAAGTAAGACAATTTATCAAAATAAATATTGTGATTTTATCAGGTAAATTGCAAGAAAAAATACTCAGCTTACATGTATGTTTCCTAGTATTTCAGGACTTCAGCACTCTTTTGTAATTCTTTATTTGCACATCATGATAAAAACAAGGCTGGAGAAAAGCTGCTTCATAATTTTGTGGGGTTTTCCTAATGCAATTATTTTGCTATTATTTTGCTGATAAGTGTAAAACTTGGAATCTTTAGCAAATATTGATAATTGTTACCAATAAGGAAAATAAGCACATATTTGGGTATATGTTGGAAGAGATTTTTTTGCATTATGTAACTTCAGGCAACTACTCAAGATGTAGAACTGCTCTATCAATGTGCCTATTGATTACTCAGTCTACTACCTTACAAAAAGTAGGTGAAGTCCTGTTAAAAAAAAATATTTTCCCCATCTTTCAAGCAAATACAACTATTTAATGCATTGAGCCCTTTTCTGTTCAGGAACAGTGCTGATTTTTTTTCAGCTGGCTATAACATAGCTTAGCTGCAGTGATAATGATGAAGTCTTAACTTCCACTACCCTCTCAAGAAATTCTAGAAACAGAAAAGCAATGCCAAGTATAAAGGAAAACAGGTGCACATTCTAATAGTAAAAAACAAATTATGAAGCAATTCATACATTCTACTCAGTTAAGCACAACTTATACTTAAAAACTCGATACTCTGAAGATGTAACTCATAAACACTATGAGAGTATGATAGTATGAGCACATGACTAAATCCACTCTGAAATCTTGCTGAGAAAAATTTAAAGTTAATGCAATCACAGAAGTCAAAAACACTGGGATCGGCATGAAAATAGGAAACTGTAACAACAGCGTGAAGACGCACCTCGAAGAAACCTAACACAAAGATGAGGAACAATTCAACTGTGTAGAGCAGCACTGACAAGCGTATAATCAGTTTTCAAAATGCTGTAACAAAGGCCATTAAACCTGCAGATACGGTGCCTTCTCTGAATGCTTAGAACACCCCATGGAGAACAGAAAGGCTCCTGTCATATACAGGAGACTCAGCCGAGACTGGCCCAGCACGTCACCTCAGGGAGGCCTGGGACCAGCCACTGAGGCAGCAGGTATTAAGAACAGGTCTAGCCAAGTTTTGCTCAGGCAGCCTGGCAGCACAGCTTATGAAGGAAGCCCTCCTGACTGCTCTTCTAGGAGCTTCCCCAAGTGCCGTCTTGGCCTTGGGCCCCTGCCCAAGAGAGCAGCCATTTAAGGACTTCCCTGAAGCAATGCCCAAGCTACTTCGTAACAGCGCCAAGAGGCTGTGCTCCGAGTGTGATCGAGAGGCTGCGCTTCAGTGGCAATGGCAGGAGTTTAAAAAAAAAAATAAACAAAAAACCCAACGAGGAAAGGTAACTCCACTTCTGGCAGTTCCAGAACTGCCCCAGGCAAGAACTCTCGATGTGAGAAAGTAGCTACATTAGTCTGTTTTCCTTTTACTAGGCACACACAAACACACACTTAACAGGCTTTTAAAAATTAATGGGGGGGGGGGAGGAGGGAAGTCAGGAACTGGCAATTATCTTAGGGGCCCTCAAAAATCACATGCAACTTCCCATATGCAATTAGCACCTCAAGAGACATTTTGAAACATAGGTCCTGAAGCTTGGAAGCAGCATTGCATTAATAGTCTTTCCCTCCACAAGCTGATTACAGTTAGCAGGTCACAACAATGTGAAGCTACCTAACGCACCCTTCTTCTTGCCAATTTTAAACCCATCAGTCTTCTAGTTACAAACAGGCTTCCTGAAAACCTGTAAAATGCAAGAGCTTAAAAAAAAAAATTCAGAAGCACAACACAATTTAGCTGTGTGACGATCTTTTTTAAGAATAATTTTTCCTTTTGGGGGATATAAATATTATACATGTAATAACATTTGGGAGATATAAATATTCTTTGACTTAACAACCAGCCTTACTGAAAAAGAGCAAAATTGCCCTTTTTTATTCCTGAAGCAGACCTAGAAACAGAGTGTGCCTTCAGCAGCACCAGCGGCAGCTGGGGAAGAGATGAGCACAAGTCTGAACTGGGGTTATACTGACATTTGAAGCTGTCACTTCTGGCTTCACTGCTATTGACATGACCAAAGAGATTATCATCAGCAGCAGAGAGGTATCACAACAGGGAGCTGCAACCTACTTATGTCTGCTCTCTGCTCCCAAAGAAAAGTACTTGGGAGGCAAACACTGCATCCAGGGAATAAACACACTCATTACTAGTGCAATGGGGAGAAAGAAAGGAAGGAACTTCATTTGCCAACTGGCATGAGGTGAAACATGCTGGCTTTAGGTTCAGTATAGCATGTGGTTCAAGAATGGACTGAGAGCAGCCCCAAGAAGGACCTGGGGGTACTGGTGGATGAAAAGATGGACGTGAGCCTACAACATGCACTCACAGCCCAGAAAGCCAGTTGTACCCTGGGCTGCACAAAAAGTGTGGCCAGCACGTTGAGAGAAGTGACTCTGCCCCTCTGCTTCACTCTGGTGAGACGTCAGCTAGAGTACTACATCCAGCTCTGCAGTCCTGACCACAGGAAAGAAATGGACCTGTTGAAGAGGGTCCAGAGAGACACAAAAGTGATCAGAGGGCTGAAGCATCTCTCCTCTGAAGAAAGTCTAAGAGAGTTTGGATTGTTCAGCCTGAAGAAGGCTCCAAGGAAACCTTACTGCAGCCTTTCAGAACTTACAGGGGGCTTCTAAGAAAGATGAAGACAGTCTTTTTAGCAGGGCCCACTGCAACAGGACAAGGGTAATGGTTTCAAGCTAGAAGAACATAGATTTTCCATAGTTATAAGGAAGAAATTGTTTACAGTTAGGGTGGTGAAACACTGTCATAGGTTTGTCAGAGACATGGTAGATAGCCCAACCCTGGAAACATTCAAGATCAGGTTGTATGGGGCTCTGATAAAATGTCCCTGCTCATTGCAGGGAGATTCGACCAGATGACCTTTAAAGGTCCCCTCCAACCAAAGTATTCTATGATTTTATGAAAGAAATTGAGGAACCTTACTTTGAAGAGTCACCCACATTTTGTATTTCCAAACAGGAATAATTATAAAAGCTGTTCTTCAAAGGTAGGATTGCTTCTTCTTAATCATGCATAAAAAGGAATTCGTGATAAAATCTTACAAGCCAGAAGCTTCCTAGGTCTTCTCACACAGTGAACTGAGACTTTAGATTATCTTTAGCACTATAGAATGATTTTTTTGCAAAGATCCCTTTAGAAGAACATAGCTATAGTCCCAAGACATTGCAAGGAATTAGTTAAATTAACTCAGAGTAAATTTGAGTAACTTGATCTCCTGAGGTTAGTGAAGTACTGCAGCATATATTTTGCGTTTCTTCTAAAAATCTTGTCTCTTATGGGAGACTAAGACTTACTCCTTGAACACAGGTAATGCAAGGATACTTCTAGATAACATATAAATAAAAATCTCGATTTATTGACTCACCAAATCTGGAGACAAGCCTAGACCCCTCAATGCTCGAACACTGTTCTGTGTTGGTTTTGTCTTCTGTTCGCCAGTGGCGTTAGGCTGGAAAGACATATTTTGAAAGCTGAAATAGCAACTAACATCCACTAACAGAACAGTTACAGGTTAAAAGAGAAAAGTCATTGCAGGAAGTAAACATGTCCAAACAGAGCCACAATATGCCAGAAACAGAAATGGCATCACTATTATTACTTATATAAGAAATTCTGTGAAGAAACCATATGGCCCTAATTCAGGTCAGGTTTACTTTCTTTTTTCTTTCAGAGAAAAAGTTTCAATATAATTGACTCAGGTAGAAGAAGAATATTCCAAAATATGGATTTTGCTAATAAATGGAGAATGTCCAACATAGCACAAAGCCTTCAGTGACTATCCTTGAAAATAATCTGATATAGTAAACAACTCTCTTCTCAAATACTCAATCCTACCAATTGCTGATCAACCCTCTAACCTGTAGCTGCAGTAGTCAATTCTATTTTTATCTGTACGAGGTGCAGTCACTCTATTGTTACCAACCTCCGCTTACCAAAACCTTCCCAGTGAAAAAACCTATTTGCTAAGTAAAATTTAGAGTTCAAATGGAAAAATATTTTTAGCCTTGTACAAAAAGTTGTAGTGGTCTTGCCTAGACCACTGTCCATCAAGAGTTAGTCACCCACATCAGTTCAGCTGCGGCCCAGGCCTGTGCTGCACAGACCCCTTGGCCACAGGAGCCTGCCGGCAGCTCCCGCTCAACACGCGCCACGGCACCACCTGCGCGGCCTTGGCCTTCACCTTGGGATGGGGCAAGAAGCTCTCCTGAGAGCATCCTTCCTGCTCGACAGCAAAAAAAATGATACAGTTGTTTCCTTGTAAGAAAATTATCAGCTCAAATGGCTGAAAGGGGAGAATCCCTTTTATGGATGTCATCTGCACAGCATGCTGCACGTCAGGGCCATTCAGTGCTGTACCACCTGTGGTTCTTACCACCTACAGGGATGTAAGGTCATTTATGCAGTTCCCTGCTTACACTATTAGCTCTAACAAATAGAATTTTATATGATACCTTAGAGAGTCCGAGTCCTTTTCTTACTGGGCTCATGACACACCTTTGTGCCTTCCTGTGCAAAGCACAACTATATTAAGACTTCCAGATAAATTAGTGTTGATAAAGGTGGGTTTTGACAACTTAAAACGTTAAAACAAATTCTCACCAATAAAGTAATTATCAAGGCCTTTATTTACTCCAGTACAGCTGCATTTCCTATCTCCAGCTCTAAAACCCTCCAACATGAAATGGTTAACAGTAGAAGTAAACAAATATAAAGCCCAATACAGAGTAAAATCCATTTTATTAATTTTAATAACTTACCTGTGGTACTAGACTAACATGGATATTACAGAAGTTCTCCCTTTTCGCTTTGAACTGAAACTGTCTAAATGCTTCAACAAATGGCATCCCTTCAATATCTCCAATGGTTCCACCCAGCTGAAAAAGAAAGTTTGGCTATGTCAGTGGCAGAAAGCAAAAACAAAGGGGGGAAGGGGGGGGAAGTCTCTCTTTTACATACTCAATAAGTTTTCTGAAATTTTTATCTTAAAAAAACCTGACAATTGAAATTTGCAGGCATATTCTGCAAAGATCCTTCACCTATTCTTCGCATTTTGTTTCACAAAAGAATTTTCCAATTTTATTATATTCACTTGATATCAAACATCTAAGCTTCCTATGAGAAGATGTGGGATGCTACTGAATAATACATGCTTTCAAAAAACAATACACTGCCTCCAAAATGGTGAACAAGTAATCAAAAGTTAAACTGATGTGAAGGTTTCTGTACAGCAAAAACTTATTTTCCTGTCTCTCAGATTAATGAACAGCTGAGACCACCAAGATACAGATATTTAGCAACGTTATCTCAGCTTTCCAACATGAAAAAATGCCAAATGGACTACATGAAATAATATTTTGATATTATAAAATACTTGAAGTATTTATTACCAAACCTAAACCCAAGACTGAGCCCATGATAAAACTTCTTTATAAAGGCAGAAAATAGATATCCTTCCAAGACACAAAGAGCTGTAGTAGACTAAGAACTGAACAAAGCAGTGTTTAGCACAGACAACTGTTTATAGAGTAGTCGTGTTTCAGAGCAATCTTTCTGTGCCACCAAGTGGCTTTTCTCAGAATTGCATATTTGTGTCACCCAACACCAGAAAAAAAACTTTTAACAACTACATTTGTACGTGACATGCATATTCTAATTCCTTCAGGATTTTGCCACGGAAAAAAAAAATTACAATTATCCTTAAAGTCCCAAAGGAAACTGTTTTTAATCAGGCTGGAGCTACAAGAACAAAAAAAAAACTTACATGGAAAAAAGAGAAAATTAAGCTTGAATTTAAGGCCCATCCCTTCTTAATGTTCTTGTGCACCTTCCATATTTACTGTTTTCACATTTGTTTTAAATGAAGGCTTTAACTCTCACTGTGCATATCATTAAGAAATATCTATAGCTATACTAATAAGTGTATTTTAATCAAGGCAGGTTCTTCTGGATAAAAATACTGAGCAATTCTGTGATCTGGGTCACAAAATTTATCACAATATTGATTACAGTGGTCATTTTTGGCACTACATCTATGACATACTCTTCTGTCAAATTCTCAGGTATTATCTTTTCCTGTGTTTTCTGCTGTGAGAGTTATACCAGCAATTACTGACAGCCTTACTTCCAGTTGTCTCAATGCCCTACTAAGAACAGGTAAACTGACTGTTTCCATCGTGCAGCAGGTTAAGTGATTAACAAAGGCACCTGCAAAGATCTTAAAAATAACACCAGAAAGTGGGACACTGATATATACAGTGTTTAAATATATTCCTTGAAACATGACCATGAGCAACAAGACAGACATTTTAAGTCATATGTAGAGCTAGAATGTTACAGTCTCCTACCGACCACAGGAGATTTCAGGTATTGCAGAAGCTTTCTCAATAACAGTCACAGCATAAAAATTCAGTAAAATATCTGTGTCTTGGAATAGTTACTTCCTATTACAGTGATTGGCTGCTTTAATTTTATAAATTAATAAACTCCTAACCAGCCCAGTTTCAGGAGTACTGTAAAAGGGAGTTAGTGAAGTCAGCAGAAGCTGTAGGGACCACAGCCATCGTTCTCAGAACAAGCCAAAGAATATATACTACAGGAAGTAAGAGAGAGAAAGCAAGATGGTGCTTTGTGTTCACTGTGGATGTATATCCTAAAACGTTCCATACTTGCCTCAATTACACAGATTTGGGGCTCTTTTCTGTCATCATCCACTGGAACTTTTGCCTGATTCATTACCCATTCCTGAACTGCATCAGTGATGTGTGGAACAACTACAAGACAAAACCAAAGAAAGCAAGTATATCTTCTTAACTTTAGGCATATAAAGCAGTTTTTGCATGCAAAAGGGGGAAAATAAGCAAAAAGTCAAAAGGAAACTACTAGCTCCTTTTTCTGTTCCTCCTTTCCTGGACCTCCAGAACCCAACACTACAAAAATATGCCCATATCTTCTGGGAAAGTGTAAGGAATAAAGTGATGCAGCAATGAGAAGTTGTTCTAGCTGACAACTTTTCTGAAAGACTAGATGGATTAGTATCCCACAGAATTAAAAATATCACCTTGAACAGTTTTTCCCAGGTAATCACCATGTCTTTCCTTATTAATGACGTGCTGATATATCTTTCCAGTGGTGATGTTGTTATCTTTATAGAGACTGATGTCCAAAAATCTCTCATAATTTCCCAAATCTAAGTCAACTTCTCCACCGTCATTCAATACAAAAACTTCACCTGAAAAAGGCAAAAAGAGACAGAAAAGCAATAAAACAATCAGAAATTATTAAACACACAGCAGGAACACCAAAACCTTACCTTAAAATTGAATAATTTTTTTTTAAATAACACATCAGAACAATATATCAATAAAGTACATGCTGCAACTCAATCTCTACCATCATTCTGTGTGACACAATGAGAGTCCTTACTTTTACACCAAATGTCTATCAGTCACATATAGTTTTGCAAATAAATGTAAGTTATATTGCCAAAACATTTAAGTGACTTAAAAATATTTACCTAGCATTTCAATAACACACTACAATGCTTGACTGGAAGAAAATAATCTCCAGGAATCATAAATCAGTAACAAACAAAACAAATTCATATGTGGGAGACACTGTACTAAGGTATCATTTAATCTAAGAGACAGAGTGGAGACAACACTTTTCTTAGGCAGGTCTTGGAAGAATAAAAATATATATTATCAAAAAAGCTCTTTAGCTAATTGGAAATCACCAAATTAAAATCCCTTTACTCAATAATATTTCTGCCAAAATGTTAACAAAAGAGGCTTGTCATTCTGGCCTGTAAATTTCTGCTTACATCAAGCCAGTGTTTCTTCACAAGCAGTAGGGTAACTTAAGCGAGCAGAAGGGGGGAAAAAAAAAAAATCATGTGGTAACTACATGCCATAGTGTCCACTCTCCTCTGCAATTTCCTCCCTCTCCAGGGCAGGAAAACATCCTCACAATCTCAAGTCATTGCAGGAGTCTTACCACGAAAGGTAAAGGCAGAACTTCCCCAGTCAACAGACTGTGTAGCACCAGATGCACTTTTGAAAGCGTAGGACTACTGAATTAGTTACATTCAGCTTTTTGAGAGAGTTCTGAAGTGCTGTGCTCTCTACCTCCACTCAAAAAGCAAAGTGGTCTTTTTTCAGTTCAGGAGATAAACACATTTATCTCCAGTTCCAAAAATTTTGGTCTAGACTATAAATAAGCCAACAAAATCCAACAAACAAACAGAACTAGAAATGTCTGTTGGCTGAAGGTACTTTGGAAATTTTAAAAAAATTGGTTTTAATAAATTTATGAGTAACAAGCCAGACAGCTGAAGGAACATTCAACTTCATAACTACACCAGACTGCCTTGTAACTCATCAACAGTGTAGTCAATACAACCAACATAGCCTAGAGAACTAACCAACCCGACTAAGCATGAACTTGAAAATTATATCTTTAGTTGGCTCTCTAACCTTCACTGATGATTTAGAACAGATCCTCACTGATTAAAAGGAGAACTTAATCTAGCTTTCATGGAGACACTTAAGACTAGAAGGCACTGACACTTGGCACCCAGATAACAGCATTCACAAGTAGCTGTTGAGGGCTTAAGCTTCAAGTAAGTTTTATAGTACTATTCTAATTTGTTTTGTTTTGTTTTTAAATCAAGTTGAACTGAAGATAGCATTAACTTAACAAAGCCTAAATCTAGGATTTTCCCAACAAAGTGGTATTTTGTAGAAAGGAAACATCTACACATTGAAGTATCTTCAACAAACAGGCTTCTCCTTTCTTTACTTAGAGCAGACAACGCCCTTGAGAACACGCAGCAAGGAACAAATCTGCATTGCAAAACAGTTCCAAAACAGATTATAAAAATATTAATAACTACTGCACTATTGTTTAAAAAAAAAAAAAAAGAAAAAAACCCAACCAAAACATCACACTACTGTGAATACAAATACTTATGCAAAAGTGAACAGTACTGCTCTTCATACCATGTTCATACGGTGAAAAGGTTCCAGCATCTATGTTTATGTAAGGATCAATTTTGATTGCAGTGACACGCAGCCCACATGATTTCAGTATGGTGCCAATACTGCTTGCAATGATCCCTTTGCCAATGCCCGAGATGACACCACCAGTTACTAGGATGTACTTCATGGGAAAACCAGCACAAGTACACAGATCTCAAGCTGGAAATCTAAAGTGAGAAAGACATTTATCTGATGAATGCATATTCATGTCAGGTAAGAACAGAGCCTCAGTATGCAAAGAATCTAAGTTGAAATGGCCTTTGGAAACAGATGACAAAAGTTACCATTTTGGAACCTGGGAGCAGGGTTTGTTTCTCCCAGCTTATACACCAATACAGAACCACAGCACCTAAATCCACTCCAGTGTCAATGGAAAAACAGGTATCATTTTTATTCACTGCCTTGTGGAGGTGCCAAAGAGGCACAGTTCATTTGATGCATTCCTCTCCCATGACAGGAAAAGCCAGATAACTTTTAGAACCAGAAGTTAGGCAAGATGAATCTTACCCTGGACTCTTTCTAAATTAGTTAATAATTCCACGTGTTTTAAGAAGTTAGCTCAAAGAGCATTCATTGCTACATTAACCACAACACTCACATTCTCTACCCTGTAGGTCTACCTGCAAACATATTACTGTCACTTCAAATATCTATATAAAATCAGAATGTTATACCATCCATCCCATTTTTCAGCAGCTTTCACTTCTCCAATTCACAGCGTATAAAGCATTTCACCAAAAGTCTCACAATATCCTACAGATAATAGAATAAGAGACTAGGAAAGAAAAACTGAACCAAAATGTCCTTGTGTCTACTGTTCAAGAGCCTAGAGTCCTTTCTTCACATGCCTACCCATTCTCCTTCTCCAAGTTGTTACTGAGAGGAAAACCAGAAGAAAAAAAAAAAAAGAACAAAACCAAAAACCTTAGTCAGAATCCCTGGAATATGATGCAGAGTAAGAGCTGATGCTGTTCTAGAAAATAACATTGTTTTAACACCTAACAACACCTGTTCTAAGTCTCAGCTTGAGAGAAACACCTGTAGCATGATGACAGTAGCATCATGCATTCAGAATGGCAACCCTGGATATAACAGCTCTGAAACCTATGGTATGGACAACTTGTCAGAGTCTCTGGTTCTCTGTCTAGGAAAATTAGAAATAAACAATTCTTCACGAAAGGGAACTATTAGTACTCACAAGCACTATACCCTGAATATAAAAATATGATAATTGAAGCCTTGATGAGATACAGCATCATATTCCACTGTGCTCTACAATAGTATTAGCATAAGCAACAATGGCTATCCAGATACAGAAACTTCCTTTCCTGAAAATTAGGTTCTTTGTAAGAAGCCTGGATAATTAAAACTGAAAAAAAAATTAAAAAATTAAAAAATTACCTACTCTGAAATAAGAGATTCAAATACTATACTAGGTATTTCACATGACTGGGGGTAATAACCTAATAGATGCCACCTCAGACTGCATGAGTATGAAGAGTAATGGATTCAGAACTATCAAAAAAACCCCATGGCATCACCTCTTAAAAATTCTGATAATTACTATCCTATTTCAAAATTCTTCATCACCCTTCTCACTCCTATAACCTGCTCTTCACATCAACTGCTGTTGATGTTGTACTTGCTAGTCTCCCACTTCATCTAAGTTTCACAGAAGCAGATTTTGCCACCACTTCTCCAATCCACCAAAAACAGGATGACACTGTGCGTCTCCCAGCCATAATTGTATCCACATTGCATTCAGGCAGCTGCAGAGGTTAATCGCTGGAATAATTTTGGAACAATAACATCATGGCTCACCACAGAGCAAAAATTCTCAGGTCAGGAAAAATCTTTCCTCACTTAAGTACCTAGTCCATGCAAACCAACATGCAACAGCTCATGATCTAATGGCATTCAGTATAAATTAAAGCAGTTCTTCAGCTGCTGGGAGTAAGTGGCAGCTAGTCAATCAAAATTGTAACTCTTACTACACTACAATAACATCAATAAGGCCTAGATCTTCAAGAGACAGAGCTCAAGAACACATCCATGCTTGTCATCAATGTCACTGATTTCCTCATGATAGGAATTAATGAACTATTATTTCCTTGCCGATATAGATAAAAAAACCACGGCCATCAAAAGCATTTGACTGAGGAGAAAAGGATCATCAAAAATTAACTTTCCCCTGCCATTTAACATGTAATAATTGGATTTTTTTAAATATATTTTAAGATTTGGAGCCTACATCCTCTATTTCAGACTTCCCTCATAAATGAGCTAATGCAGTTGCCAACATTTCGTGACAACATAAGCCATTTTCAAAACTTCTTCAAGAAAAGGAGGGAGGAGAAATTAATTCAACAGGCATAGACCTTGAGTATATGCCACCTGAAATCTCTCAAACCCTATCACCTCAGTTACACGAACCACACCGAGATTTCGGCTCGCTGCGATTTTAGCAATATCACCCATTTCCCAGCAGTTCAAGGAGACGCGGCACTTAGCTGCAACAGACCCAACTCCAGGCGGTTTGGGAAGTCACTTGTGAAAGGAAACGCCGGAGGGAAAGCACACACGGGAGAGAAAGCATAGAGAGTACTGGAAGTGAACATTTTGCTGGGAACTGGAAAACACCACAGAAAGGAAGGGGAATCACTCCGTCCAGCCTCACCCACAGGAGCCCGTTGCCCTCGGCGGGGATTTCGGGGCGCCCGACCCCAGGCGCGTTGCGCAGCAGGCGGACGCCAGCGGCAGCCCAGCCC